AAAAAAAAAAAAAAAAAAATCGAAATCAATTATAAAATCTAAAAATGAGAGTTTTGTAAGTGATAACGTTCAAGTACTTTGTACGATATTTTGTTTGTTTGATGACATCTGATGGATGCCAAATGAATAAATCTTACTCATTTTGTTTATTACAAAAAAAATTTCATTTTATACATATTTATCGGATAATTTAATGATCATTAATTAATCTAGAGGCCCTATTTATTACCCTATGGTATCCTCTACACATGCACTTTGTAATAAGTGTATCCATCGAAACTTTTTTAGAATAGTGTATTTTTTTGATGTCATATTGACTGAAAAAGTTCTTAAAACCTAGTATTAAAAAATTTACAAGTTGCCGACAGGTATTGTTTTTACGACGTCGGCACGTAGCAAATATTTCGACACAACTAATCGAATGACAACTTTTAAGTGTATATAAACATATTAGGGTATTTACCACTTCCATGTGATATAAATTTAAAGGGAACCATCCCACTCCGTTTTCCATCCGATCGTCGTTCCAATTGTATTTTCACATCCACGAAACTATATTTTCCTTGCTCACTCCGCGGTCCATCGTAACAGGGAGTTTCGAAAAAGAGTACAAACTGAAATTGAAAAATATGTTCCCGTTGCTACGTATTTTACGTCTAATCGTACGAATTTTCTAAATTTTATTTTACAAAAGGTCATTTTTGTAACTATGACCACAAACTTGGACTAAATCAAAATTTGTATACCTTCCTGTGGTGAAATGGTTCGACCAATTTACCAAATCCCTGCCATCCACTTTCCTCGTGGATAAATTTAACTATTATGTCTTCATAAAATATTTTGGTGCAAAGCAACGTGATTAGTTCGCCTCCTTTCATTGAGCCTTCGTCGGGACTCAGGAATACAATATCCAAAGTCTTACTGGCCAATCCTGTTTTGAAAAAAGTATTTAAAATGTAAAAAATTGATTTAAAAAAAGCACTTTTAGAGGGATACATTTTTTAAATATTGTACCATCGAAATAAGCAAGCTATTGATAGTTAAGGTGGTTCATGCGTGAATTGTGTGGTTATTGTTGTATATTCTACTTTCCCTCAAAATTTCAGAAAAGCTTATTGGAAGTTACCAGTTTAATGTGGCTTCTAAATAAGAAGCAATTTATAATTCGATCCATTTTATGGAAAATAGAAAATTTTACTCGTCAAAAATAAATAAAAAACTAGCACATGAAAGCTCGAACAATTTAAAATTAATGGGCACTTTGTAAACTGTTGGCAATTAGACGCAACTAAATAATATTGACGTAAATTAAAATAAAATTTATCCTTTAATTTAATGTGGTGGCTTTAATTTATTCAATAAACAATACCAACTAATAACTATCTGAAGTTCATCTATTTTAATTATAAATTATTGTACACTGGGAGAAAAAAACAATAAAAATTATAGAGTAATTTCCAGCAAAAATTACCATTTTACACTGTAAATCGAATGCAAGCTATCAAAAAAGAAATTTTATTGTTTTAACAGTTAAAATTATAGTTTGAGTAGTAAAAAGTATGGTTAGTACAGTAAAGATTAAAAAAATCTGTTAATAAATTTTACTCTCCCGTATAGAAATTTTTACTGTTCTAATCATAATTTTTACGATTTAAGCTATAATTTTAACTGTTAAAACAATAATCTATACTATTGAAAATAAAAATTTTTTTTGTTTGCCAGCTTGCATCCGATTTATTAAGAATAGTGATTTTGGCTTGAACGTCTCTATAATTTTTATTATTTTTTTCTCTCAGTGTACATCAGTTGTGCTTTTGGCTTGAGAGTCACCTATACAACATATACACCTTAAGTAACTTGAGGTCTTACATAAGTTTCTTGTTAAGTTTCCAATAACTTAAATTACATAGATTTTTTTTAATTTATAATTTTANAATGCTTGTTACATTTGCACGTAAAATCTCTTTTTGAATTTAGCTAGTTGTTGTTAAAAAATTTTCGAAACAATTTATCGACTATACGTTATATACCCCGTCAGATCACAACAGTCCAGATCACCATAGTATACAATACGAGTATGTTGGAATAATTGATGTATATCAAATAACTTTGATTAAATCAAATTTTGTCAAGACCCAGAGTGGAGTTTTCCCACATCCGACAAGTTGAGAATTTTGTCAAACGTTATCGGTAAAGTTTCGTTAAAATTTCGACTCTACAATAATTAAATAATATTATTTAAGTATCAACGCATTTTATACCCACAAATTGACTTACTTCCGTTATAAATGGGCTCCGTGACAATTGGTTTCAAAGCTACGCCAAACTCACCATCGGGTTTTTGAAGGTAAACTTGAATCGCTAATCGAACGGAAGACACATCGATCTTCTCGAAATCTATTTTGTGCGAAAAACCCGCTGAAAGATATTTATACCAGTTACCAAAAATTATTATAAACATTTTAACATGTGGAACATACAATATCACCTCATCAATGGTAAAAGTACGTATTGTACAAGTCACTACTTTTTAACATACCGTTGAACGGGTCGACTCGATCTCTCTCGCGTATTTCTAGAGATTTCACCATATCTTGTTTCCTAACGACTTTGATGCCTATGTTCTTTAGGACCAATTCCGTAGCTCGAGAGTCTTCCGGAATATCCACGATACTGTGGTAATACCCTTTGTCGTCGCACGAACTGCCGACAATCTGGAAAGGATGCTGCAGGTAGGGCGGACCTTTTTTCGTTACGCAAGAAACTATGACAAACATCTGTTTACCAAAATGATTGAAAACCTGGAAAATGCAACATTATAGTAGTTTCTTTTGTAAATTCAAAACAAATACGTTAGTTTCAAACAGTAGTATAAATAATCCAATGTATTTTATACTTACATTCCACGTGGATTGGATTAAAAAAAAAAAAAAAAAAAAAAAAAGTTTCATGTTCACAAAACTATTTTGTGCACTTGTATTATTTAAATGTAACCTTGATTTTTACAGAGAAATATAGATAAGTAGCCTATATGAAATGTATTATAAAGAAAAAAGGTATAAGTATATCCTGGTTTTTTTTTTGTTTTTAGTAAGAAGAAAAAAATAGTAAAAATATATTGCCAGAAAATTTACACTTACCTTGATCGTTGGATACAGAGGACACTCCGTGGTGCTGTTTGTCCCTCTCAAAACACTGTAGGCTTCGCCATTCTTTTTGGCATTGTACCGGAATCTCAGACCCCATATTAGCGGTTGAATGTGTATAATAGCAAAGGGCTCATCAAGTTTTGTCTTTTCTTTTACAGCTAATTTATTCTCTTCCTCGTTTCCAGCCATGCTTATTTAATGTGATAATTTTCATTGACAGGGCTTGTATTGGTTACACTGGAAACGATAAATCGGCGAATCACTCGTTGAAAAAAAATCCTCAAGTCTGAAAAAAACAGTATCAAAGAGAGTTCACTTTAGATTCATTCACTTTATACCAGAGCGATACAGAAAATTGAATTGTAAATACAGGTTTAGTGCGTAAAGACTAAAAAATATACCATAGAGATTGAACGAATATTCAGATAAATAATTTTTTATGTTAAAAATAAAAATTGTTCCACAACAAATATGCTAATATATAAATATTATTTCCAAAAAGAGAGTCATATCAAGTGGAACTCGTTTTCTGCAATTAGTTTCTTTTTATTATTCATTCAAAATTTATGCTGTCAAAAATAGATTTCAAGGATGTCTGCTTTTACAACTATACCTCATATTTTTACTAGAATAAAAAGTGCAGCTTCACAAAATAATTGTCATTACTATAAGGAAATAAATAGGCCAATAGATTTTTTAAATAAATATAAGAGTTGGGTTGCATAGTAAGAAATAAACGACACAGTTTATATAAAAAAAAATTTTCTTTTTTCCTACAAGTTAGATGTTGAGTTTCAGTTTACAGTAATGTTAATACTGTTAGTTGTTATGCAGAATAAAAGTCAAAGCTTGTAAAAAATTAATTTTCGATGATGTTTAACCTAAATAAGTTGTCCTTACCCCTTATTTTGAACTCCTCGCTCTAAGATAACAGTTTACCTCGAATTTTGAAAAGTTTTTAAGTTACGCAGTAGATAGGAATCATTTGAAGTTTTCTTTTTAAATTTTTTTAATTCTATGGTTAACTACAAAAAATGATGAAAAAATGACTTGAAGTTCTAATAGCGTAGGTACTTTATTTTGACGTGGTTTCATATCATTTAAAAAATGTTTTCAGTTACAATAATTTAAAATATACATAATTCAGTGACTTAAATTTTATTGGCAATGATTTTGAACACTGTTTATTTATCATTATTATTATTCATAAATATTCT